ACGCCAGGTCTGAGGTGCTTGGGCCTGTGTCCTCTTTTCTCAGTCAGGACACACCTGCCCCTCAGCACAGAGGCTCCTGCCCTCGGTCTGCTCCCCTCCCTCGTCCAGACCTCAAAGACTGAGGCTCTGTCAGAGGCCGCAAGGGAGGCCCGGACAGACGCCAGCTTGCCAGAGAGACTGATTAAAAGCAGCTCTGCTGGGCACCTTAATGACTTCTTTAACCTTTCTCTAAAGGACCAGACCTCAAAGACTGAGGCTCTGTCAGAGGCCGCAAGGGAGGCCCGGACAGACGCCAGCTTGCCAGAGAGACTGATTAAAAGCAGCTCTGCTGTGGGTGGATGGCTTGGTGTCCTTGGCCTGGAGTGGAGATCGATAAGCAATTGTTTTTCTCTTGGCAAGAAAAGAATATTCTCCATTGACTTTCCCAGGCGCTGCCAGGCTGAGTTTTCTTTTCAGGAACCTGTGTGGCCTGTCAGAGGCAGCTCTGGGAGGGAGGACGGGCTGTCTGCTCTGGGGGAGGTGGGCCCACGGCTGTCTTGGACATCAGTCCATCACAGGAATATTCTGGAACACAGCCTGGCTGGTAGTAGGCATTCAACAGGCATTTGTTGAAAGGAGAGCTTTCTGAGCACTTAACCATGTGCTGGACCTGATTCTGAGTGCTTGGCTCATTTCATCCTCATGGCTGTCAGGTGGATGCCCGTTTTCTGGATGAGAAAACTGATGCTGAGAGAGGCTAAGGTGCTTGTCCAATGTGAGCCAGGATAAGGATGAGCTCAAGTTGTGGAACCTGAGAGGCCCTGCTTTTCCTCTTCCGGGAGATAAGGATCATAAAAAGGATATGGCAGCTGGGGCCACGGAGCGTATTGAACCTAGGCTGTCTTCCTTCAATGATAGGGAAGCCAAGACAGGGGCACAGTGAATGATTTCTTTCTCAGATACAGGAGGGGTGGGAGAGAGGGGTGTTCCCTCCCCTGCCTCTCACCCCACGGATCCCATAACACCCTGGGCTTTATCGTTGTAACCCCTGGCATGGCTACAGTTGTTTTCTTTCTTCTTCTTTTTTTTTTTTTTCCTTTTTGTCTTTTTTCGTGACCGGCAATGGATTGCAACCCTCAGTGTCGCGCCCTTACCGGACCGGGACCGGCAACGGGATCGCAACCCTCGGTGTTGCTCCCGCACCTCGCTCAGGCAGTGAGCGGCCGGTCTGTATGTGGGATCCGAACCCTTGGCGAGAGTGCCGCTGCGCTCCCAAGCGGCGCACTGTAGCAGTGTGCCACCAGGCCGGCCCTGTTTTCTTTCTTCTAAAAATTCATTTTTGGGTTGGCTGGTTAGCTCAGTTGGTTAGTGTGGTGCTGATAACACCAAGGTCCAGGGTTCAATCCCTATTACTGGCCAGCCTCCAAAAAAAGAAAAAGAATAAAAATTTATTTTTGAATGCACATGGGACAAAAGGAAAAGTAAAGTAAGTGTAGTGAAAAGTACATCTCTCCCACCCTGTCCCCCACTTCTGCAAGCCAGTTATCTTCCCTTAAGACCTCCGCTACCATTTTGTTGTATACCTTTCAGAAATATGCTCTGCCCATGCAATCATGCGTGAATGTACAGCTTTTCTCCCCTACGCCAACAGCAGCATACTGATGCTTTGGTTTTTTCTATGTAACAGTGTGCGTTGGAGCTAATTCATTATTAGGATGTATAGGGCCGCCTCTTTTAAAGTATGTGCATGGTTTTCTCATTTTATTTACTCAGTTCTCTGGAGGTGGTCATTTCTTACCACACACTGCTTAACAATCTCGTGTGTACGTCATTTTCTACACGTAAGGTTGTAGGATAAATACTCAGGTGCAGAATTGCTAAGTCAAAGATATGGAATTTTGTTAGATATTGGCGAATTTCCCTCCATAAGGATGGTACCAATTCATACTCCCACCAGCAATGTGTGAAAGCATCTGCTTTCCCATAGCCTCAGCAAAATGTCCGATTATTAAATTTTTCTGTCTTTGCCAATCAAATAGATGAAAAGAAAGGTGTATTTCATTGTAGTTGTATTATTTTCTTAATTTTGATAAGATATACATAACATATAATTTATCATTGTAACCATTTTCAGGTGTACAATGTAGTAGCATTAATGACAGTGTACAACCATCACCACTAGCCGTTTCTAGAACATTTTCATCATCCCAAACAGTAACTCTGCCCCCTTAAACAGTAACTCTCCATTTTCCTCTCCCTTTGCCTCTGATAACCTCAAATCTATCTTCTGTCTCTATGAATTTACCTATTCTAGGTGTCTCATGTAAGTGAAATCATATGATATTTGTCTGGCTTATTTCACCAAGCATCTCTGATAACCTCAAATCTATCTTCTGTCTCTATGAATTTACTTATTCTAGGTGTCTCATGTAAGTGAAATCATATGATATTTGTCTGGCTTATTTCACCAAGCATAAGTTTTAAAAGTTCATCCAGTTCTAGCCTAGATCAGTGCTTCATTCCTTTTGATGGCTGAATAATATTCCATTGTATGACAGACTATATTTTTGTTGATCCATTCATCCGTTGACGAGCACATAGGTTGTTTCTACCTTTCGGCTATTGTGAATAATGCTGCTATGAACACGAGCGTGCAAATCTCTGTTTGAATACCTGCTTTCAATTGCTGAGTCATATGGTAACTATATTTAACTTTTTGAGGAAATACCAAACTTTCATTATAGTTTGAGTTTGCACTTCTCTTATTATAAATAAGGCTGAGTATCTTGTCACATGATTGGGTTCTTTGTTGTTCTTTGCCATTTACGAACTCTGTTCATGAATCAGGCTCACGTCAGGGCTGGAATGTTGTGATTATCTCCTTGATGCCTTTCCCTGCCATATTGCCTGATATAGTAGATGCTCTGTCAATACTTCTGGAAGGACTATTCCAAGAGGGCTGAGTGACATTTCTCTGCCTCTCAGCCAGATCCTCCAAGGAGCCCTGGCTTTCTGCTGCTATCAACACCTTCCTCTCTGTCCTCCCCCCACCACTGTCATCAAGAGATATCATGTTATTCATTTATAAAATCTCTACTGCGCACCCACTGTTGTCCTGGCACCCAGAGAGACCCTCCATGATGTGGGTGATCAGCACAAAGTGGCTAATGTCTGCATCTGTGGATGTACTCAACTGAATTCCAGCGGCACCTGTGACATTTGTCCAGTAGAATTTGTCAAACACATGAACCAAAGGTTAATAATCTGTCCCTGAGATGGAGAGAATTGACTGCCTAAGGGAGTGTGTCAACCTTCCTCTTTTTTTAAATTGAAATAAAAGTTCACATAACATAAAATTAACCATCTTAAAGTGTACAGTTCAGGGACATTTAGCACATTCACAATGTTGTGCAATCACCACCTCTGTTTAGATCCAAAACATTTTCATCATCTCAAAAGGAAACCCCTACCCATTATATAGTTACTTCCCATTCCTCCCAAATTCTCCATCCCACCCCGCACTGCCCTGTAGTCCTAGGCATCTATTAATCTACTTTCTGTCTCTGTGGATTTTTTTATTCTAGAATTTCATATAAACAGAATCATACATATGTGACCGTTTGTGACTGGCTTCTTTCACTTAGCATCGTGTGTTCGAGGTTCATCCACATTCTGTCAGTCCTTCATTCCTTTTTATGGTTGAATAATTTTCCATTGTATGGATATGCCACATTGTGTTTATCCATTCATCTGTTGATGGACATGTAGGTTGTTTCCTCCTTTTAGCTCCCAGGAATAGTATAGCTCTGTTTGGGTACAGAATGACTAGAATGGAATTACTGGCTCACGTGGTAATTCTCTAACTTTTTGAGGAGCCACTAAGCTATTCTATGTCAACCTTTTTGAAGTCATGTTTTGGCTTATGTCCTGGCAGGCACCAGCCAGGAAGACATAGCTGGGGGCTAAAGTAGAGAAGCATTAAATAATACATATGTCGACCCTGGCTCCTCAGACAGCACAAACGCAGCTGGCTCACACCCTGTTGGTGACTGTCCTTCCTCTTATGAGACCCCTGAGCCCCCCTCCTCAGTTGAGAATCATTGGCCTGAGGGCAGGCCAGGAGACCGGACTGCTGTGCGGGTAGCCTTTGCATTAGGAGACCTTAGACAAGTCTCTTTCCCTCTCTTGAGACTCAGTTTCCCCATTTATAAAATGATTATGCTAGTATGTGGAAGATGTTTTGTAAACTGTAAAGTGTTGTCTCAATCATTGCCGTTGTGAGGTGATGCAGCCCAGAGGTCACCAGGTGGAAGGGTTTCATTTGGCTTGCCCAGCATTTAAAACTATTTGAAAAAATTGCTGATAACATCCTTAGGGCTTCTCTAGAAAAAAATAAAAGGGGAAAACCAGGCAATAGTAGGTCCAGATCTCTGCTGGACAACAATTGGCTTGAGCTGGAAGTAGCTGCCAGTTTTGTAGGGGGCATGAGTGCTCTATTTGGGGGTTTTCTTATACTTGGTTCCTACAGGAATTGAGTTTGGGAATCCTTGTCATGATGTGTGAGAAGCGGCTTTTAAAATAAGGAGATGTGGGCTGGCTGGTTGTTCACTTAGGGGAGCATGGTGCTGATAACACCAAGGTCAAAAGTTTGGATCCCCAAATTGGCCAGCCTCTCCCCCTCCCCCCCAAAAAAGTGTGAACTAAAGAGATGCACCCTGTACTGGCCAGCCACCAAAAAAAAAGTAAAATAAGGAGATGCAAAGTCACTTTTTTGTATAGTCTCAGAGGTCAGATCACATCATATATAAAGAGATGCACCCTGTACTGGCCAGCCACCAAAAAAAAGGTAAAATAAGGAGATGCAAAGTCACTTTTTTGTATAGTCTCAGAGGTCAGATCACATCATATTTTGCAAGATTTTTTTTAGGATGTCAGCCTGAGGCAGGAATGAAACACCAGCCTGGGCCAAGAGGAGAAAGGCTCCCTGCCGTCCAGGTGGCTGACCCTTCTTGTCTCTGCAGGTGGTACCACTGCCGATGGGAGTGACCAGGCGTGTTGGATGAAGTCCATGCACCATGTCATCATGTGTCTCTTGCCAGCCCACCAGTGACCGGGCCACCCCCCAGAATGAGCTGGGGGGTGGGGGCAGCAGCAGCCAAGGCCAGAAGCCCTGTGAGGCCCTGCGAGGCCTCTCGTCCTTAAGCATCCGCTTGGGCATGGAGTCCTTCATTGTGGTCACCGAGTGTGAGCCAGGCTGTTCTGTGGACCTCAGCCTAGCCCGGGATCCACCCTTGGAGGCTGATGGCCGAGAGGTCCCCCTCGACACCTCTGGGTCCCAGGCCCGGCCCCACCTCTGCGGTCGCAAGCTCTCCCTGCAGGAGCAGTGCCAGGGCAGCAGCTTGGACATGAATGGACGCTGCATCTGCCTGTCCCTGCCCTACTCACCCGTCAGCTCCCCGCAGTCCTCGCCACGGCTGCCCCGGCGGCCCACAGTGGAGTCCCACCATGTCTCCATCACGGGTATGCAGGTGCGTGAGTGGGTGAGCTGGGTCCCGGGGGATCCCCAGTGCCCTTCCCTGACCCCAGTAGGGCCTCCATGCTGGGATGGGCTCCCCCAGAAGGATTCAAGTGCAACAGTTGACTTGGATCAGCAAAGGGTGGGTTATGGAGCTGTGGCCTGTGGGGGGGACCCTGGGGTACCGCATGGAACACAAACCTCATCAGGTGCGAGGAAGCTGGGGTGGGTGGTGACCTGCCCTGAGTGTGGGCAGAGTGGCTCCAGGGCCAGAGGGATACAAAGCGATGCAGGGGCTGGTGGTGGGAAGGGGAGCTGGCACAGGGATAGGGTGGGTCAGCGTGGCCCCGCAGCTGTGGTCCCCATTGCTGAGCGTCTGTGCCAGGTGCTGAGTTCAGTACTTATGCGTGTTTCTTCTGTGATCCTTACCTTGAGCTTCTGGGAGGTGAATTAAAACTCAGATCTGCACCAGTGTTCACAGTGTCCTGCATGATCTGCCTCCACCCCGCTCCTCCCATTCTGCTGCTGGCTCACAGAGCCCCATCCCTTCCTGCCTTCTTCATATTCCTCAGATACTGAAGCTCATTCCCACCTCAACTTCTTTATTCTTTTTTTTTTTTTTTTTCTTTTTTGTCTTTTTTCGTGTCCGGCAACGGATCGCAACCCTCACTATCGCGCCCGTACCGGACCGGGACCGGCAACGGGATTGCAACCCTCGGTGCTGCGCCCGCACCTCGCTCAGCCAGTGAGCGGGAACTGGTCTGTATGTGGGATCCGAACCCTCGGTGGGAGCGCCGCCA